GGTGCATATGGAGTTCCACAGTCTCGAAAGAGAGCATTTATATGGGCGGCTTCTCCTGAACAGCTGCTTCCAGAGTGGCCTGAGCCGATGTATGTCTTTGCTGCACCTGAGCTGAAAATCTCAATGTCAAAGAATCTGAACTATTCGGCTGCTAAGAGTACTACAAAAGGAGCTCCATTTCGCTCTCTTACTGTCAGAGATACAATTGGGGATCTTCCTCCTGTGGGCAATGGTGCATCAAACACAAGTTTACAGGTATAGTTGAGTACCCAAAAGAAGAAAAAATTAATTACTATCACCTAAATAAAAAACCCTTACAAATATTACCCATGTGAATTAGCTCAATCATAAAACTATTCAGTTCTCTTTAAAATAAGAAAAATCCTCTCTGATTATGTCTATTGTAAATTACGTCTGTCGAGAGAGTGTAGGGGAAACATGCATCATTTGCAGTAGGTGGGGGTGTTTGCAGTTTTAAAAGTTGAACTTAATAATATATTGCAAGTATAGATTAAAGCTTGAGTGTTGTTTTAAGAATTATCCCAAATTAAAATCAACCCAATTTTGCTTACTACAATTGATTGGCTGATGCTGGGTTACCGTGGTCTATCTTTTTTATCTACTTTAGCTCATACTTACATTCATGCTTTTAATGTTTGTGAATGCAGTATCAAGGTGAGCCTATATCATGGTACCAGAAGAAAATCCGAGGTAGCATGGCCACATTAATTGACCACATCTCAAAGGAAATGAATGAGCTTAACCTAATCAGGTGTCAGAAAATCCCCAAGCGTCCCGGTGCTGACTGGCGTGATCTTCCAGATGAAAAGGTGTTTGACATAACCCAAACAAGGGTGGTCTGTGTTGAGCATTTGCATCTTTTAGCTGAATTCTCCTTCTATCAATTTACAGGTGAAATTATCAACTGGACAAGTAGCTGATTTGATACCATGGTGCTTGCCTAATACTGCCAAGAGGCACAATCAATGGAAAGGACTGTTTGGAAGGTTGGATTGGGAGGGTAATTTCCCAACTTCTATAACTGACCCACAACCGATGGGCAAAGTTGGAATGTGCTTTCATCCTGAACAAGACAGGATTGTTACTGTTCGTGAGTGTGCACGCTCTCAGGTAAGTTAGCTTCCTTGTTTTTTTTTTTGGTTTGCAAAAAATTGTTCATACAAAGCCCATTCTAAATTTCCTAAAGTAAAAGTCTACAGTTTGTGAGTCATCTCCATGTGTGTTTCCTTTCAACCTACTGCAAATTTATTAATCGATTGGCTGATACTTGGAGGTTTAAACCGTAGAACCTGAATACTATGATTTCAATATCATTCTAAGCAAATGTAATTATAAGTTGAACGTCTGGATCTGGTGGCATATCCATATTAAGTGCGATAAACAAACATAATCTCCTAATGTTTCTGATTTGCTCTGAATTGGAAATGAGGCATAAGACATATCTAAAATTTGGAAGTGACACTATCTGGTCTATGTTTATTGTGTTACGGTCAGTGTTTATGAAACTTATTGATCTCCAAAAATGGAAGTAAAGATATAATTATGCAACTTGGGTTTTTCATGGAAAATATAAATTAATCTTTGGAACTTTATGATTTGATTTCGAAACTTCTCTCTGAACTTGGTCTAATTGCAACTCGTTTATTGACAGGGTTTTCCTGATAGCTACAAATTTTCTGGTACCGTTCTTCACAAGCACAGACAAATTGGAAATGCTGTTCCTCCTCCACTAGCTTATGCACTGGGAAGAAAACTGAAGGAGGCAGTTGAGGGCAAAAGCAATTGCTAGCTAGAAATTGCTTATGGACTCATCTGTTTCCTGGGGTGGAAAAATTTTACGCGCCTGCTTTAGAAATCTGAATGGCGACGAGCTGTATAGATCCTGATCAATTCAACTTTTCTGTTAACATATTAGCAAGCTTCGGCTGCTTGTATTGTTGTTTGGGCAAATGTATGTAGCTTTGAGAACACGAGGGATGAAAAGTTGAGTATTTATTATTGTAACTGTGGAAGAAAGTTTATAGAATTCTGCAATTACTTGCGAGAAATTTTATAGAATTTTGTTATGAATATTTATAGTTTTTGCATCACCAATCACAATTTTCTTCAACAAATACTATGTTATCCATTACAAATTATTGTACACAACATACTATTTTATACAGAAGAAAAATTGAATCTTTCACTCAAAACAAAACAGTACAACAACAGATGTACAAATTTTGTCTCCCTTCTTACATGAGATCTTTCTCTTAGCCTCCTCCTATAATCATAATTCATAACATGCTCTCTTGTAGCCATGATCACTGGTGACAAATATTTCATGTAAATGCATGGCATCCCGATTCCAAACATAAACGTTTGACTTCCAAACCTTTTTCCGGTCGAACTTTACCATCCAAAATAGTCCATAAATTCTGCTACAGGTGGCAACATGCAAAAACACACATGTTTAACGTGACTAAATGCTGTTTTCACGAAGAAATTTAAATAGAAGCATCCTTTTCTAGAAACAGAAGCAGCCTAAATTGAAGGAGAATAAGGCTCATTATGGGAAGACAGACTTTCATAAGTATAAGGATGGCCATGCTCCTTCATTTTCCCTTGTTAACTACTCGAAGTCGAGGCAGATTCATTATTATGTGGATTCAAGCCAGAAAATTCCATGATATTTTCAATCTCTTTAACCACTTCATTCATTGTGGGTCGACTGACTCCCAACTCTTGAACACACCTCAGTGCAAGATCCACAAATTTTCACGACACTACCCGGTGCCATATTGGAAGAAACTATTGGGTCGAGAAGAGGTTCGAGGTTATACAAATGCTTGCTTTTGTCCATCATTTCCTTCACTTCCCGAACAATGTATTTCCCGTTCACTATTGGAGATCTTGAAGTTAAAAGCTCGAATAGCAATACCCCAAAGCTGTACACATCGCTCGCTTCTGTGATCGTCCAGAATCTGCAACTTTCGCATTCAGGCGATCGTCCAGCAAGATGTTGTTTGATTTGATATCCCTATGTATGATGG